CCCGGTGCGGAGCCGCCGAGCGCCACGGCGAGTCGCCTGTGCGGGCGCCGAGCGACTTCCAGGGGGCCGCGCCCCGGCCCGGTGGCGATCTGGGAGGCCGTGACCATGTACAGTCCGGCGCGGTGAAGAGGCCAACTGGAGGAGAGGAGTTTGCGGGAGCACAAGTGGGCGACAGTTGGCTCAAATGGCTTGAGAATGCAGGGTGGATGATAGTGAAGTTAGGTTACTACAGGACGGAGAAAAGATACTGAACAGTTGAATGAGAATATTTTTTTAAATTGGGCTCAAAATCTACGAAAAACATACACTAGCTCCATTCTACACATTGCCGCTGATGTCTGTATGTGGTCATTCTTTACATACATATTATTGCGAATGTGAAATATGATGGATTTCCCTTTAGCACCACCTTTATTAATTTATTTTTAATTCATTAACGTAAAAAACACTTTAAAACTGTGCGACGTGCTTTTGGGAGAAGTGCAGTCTGTATAGTGATTCACGAGCTTTGAAATATGTCTTAATTCTCTAGTATTAAGTTGAACTATGAATACTAGTACAACGAGGGTTTTTGGTAAGAATTAGTATGAAATCATTCACTCTGATGTAATAAAAACGATTTGGAAAAATCCAATCATCAACAGATAATGACTGTATCCTAGTGCTCTATATAAAGGAATCGACTTACTGCAGCGAGAAAATAGAGAACGATTATTTGAATATCTACATTACCCCAGGGCTCAACTAAACATGCACAGGTAGTGAAGTTCCATCTATGTTAAGAAGCAAAACAATGGTGTATCTCGGTATTTGCTCCAAAGCTCAGGGAAACTGGATCAAAAACCTGATCGTGGCGGAGGTCATTGTCTCAAAATCTGAGGTAAATTTTAGTGGAGGTAACAAGGAAAATCATGGTGCGTAAATGAAATGAAAAAAATTAGAGGCACAAGATACCAAAGAATCGTAAACATGGCCCCACAGACTATACACTCAAAGCACGGTGAAATGCACTCTAGCTGAAAAAACTGGAATGATATCGTTTTAACTTGTGGATCCAACATCCACTCAACAATCAATTTCAATCTCTTGTTCTTTCATTCCACTTACTTGAGCGACGTACTTAATAGAAATATATTTCATTTTATAGTACTACACACAGTAACAATCAGTTCTTCCAATCGATACCAATTCGGTTTTCCTTTAAAACTTGCAATTAATTTAATTCAATATTAAAGATTTCTCAATAACAAGAAGTTCTTAATGAAAGAAACAAAAGCAACATCATTTACTGCAGGAAATACGCAAAAGTAGAAAAACGAGACACGTTGCGTATTTGCATCAGCGCCACCTTCTTTACACTGCCTGACTGTACCGCTCACATCGCCACAAACATCACCGTCGCCACCGCCCCCGCCGCGGTGGCGTCTCCACCGCCGGTTCCCACGCGGACGGTAACTGGCGACTCGCCGCGTTACAGCCGCGGCGACAACACGCGCGTTGCAACTTTCATAAGCGTTAAATTTAAAAGGCTTTAAAACAAAGCGGCGGGGGTGGCGGCGGCGGCGGCGGAGGCGCCCGCGCGGCGGCCATGCATTAGTCAAGATACACCTGTGAGCTCCGCTGCGTAAAAGGGACTTTACAGCCCGCGCGTCTGCCTCGGCGGGTGCACCGCGGCGCCGCTGGGGGCGCGGCGGGCGCGCTGGCGCGCGGGCGATCAGCGGCGCGGCCGCCCCG